GGGGTGTAATCGTCTAGCTCTGTGCTTGTCAACCTTTTTGAAAGCCTGCGTCCATTTTTACGATCTAGCCCTTTTAGAGGCTAAATGTTCGTACCACCCAGCTACACGTATTTACAAGCGGGGCATTAAGTATAGCCTGTTGCTACCTGATTTATCTCCACCGCCAAAAAGAATGTTGGCAAGCATTGCTTGGTCTCGCTTGCTCCTCGACACTGCTTGCTCTCCCCCCCTCTCTCTCACTTTCTCTCTTTCCGACATACATTCTCTCTCTCACACACACACAAACACACAAACACACACGCAAACACACATAAACACACACACACATATGCACTCTCTCTACCCCCCCTCTCCCTCTCTCTCTTTGCCCTCACCCCTCCCCATCCCCCCAGAAAGAGATGACTGTAACAGCAATCTTGTATGGCAAAGACGTTTTCTTTCACGAATATTAATCATATTTTCCTGTACGCAGAGAACTCAAATTGTACAAGATGTGCAATAAAGCGGAACACCATATTATATCATTAGACACTAGAGCAGGCACGATCATGAACACGACATTAATTATACTGGTCTCCAAAGTCTTGGGCATATTTTCGTACAGCAAGAATGTTAAAACATTGATATATCGTCAGCAAACTGTTAAAATGTACTGAGCTCAGAATGCAACATTTCTCATGGGACGGGAGAAAAGACTACTTCCTTCTTTTAACAATTGTACCGAAATTATGTTTTTATTGGAGCTGTTTTTTAGTCAAATTTTAAAATTAGAATTTCGACAAAATATTTCTTGAGCACACACAACCAGCATCACAGATTGAGACACTGCAATAAAGAAAAAATCAGAATGTTTGTCTTAAGACATTTTAACAGCTGGCTGACGATTTGCAGTTATATAATGTTATTATATATACTATATAGTATATAATTTTCTATTTTTAAAATTCAAGCCCACATTTGAAACTATCCCCAGGCCATCTATCTCCTGATCGCCCTAGGATGGGTGTTTGTGCCTGTCTATGTCGCCAGTGGGGTGAGTTGAAATGTTCCGAAATATTCTGCAGTAGTTTTTTGGAGCGTATACGTTGGTGGTTGGCGTGTGGTCTGGTGTGGTTTGCTCCTTCTTTCCTATCAACCATCCTTATCTCTCCTTCTTTTTTGTGTTTGTTACTTTCCTGTGAAGGTGCGGTGGCGGAGCGGTACTGCGCTCGTCTCGAAGCGGAGAGTCCGTGTTCAAGCCTCGGTTCGAACTCGGATTTTTTTCGCCCCCTCCTGCCCACCCAGCAGTAATGGGAGGCCTGACTTCGAGTTGGGGAAGTAAAGGCGGCGAGGAAAGGAACTGGCCACCCTACCACAATATACCCCAAGGCCCAGGAAGTTGTCTCACTAACAAGGCAATCCCGAAAGTCCGGATCAGGTGCGGGAACAAATTTACTTACTCCTCTGTAACACATCTAATCGAAGATTAGAGATGCTATGTACTAAGAAAAGAAGGAGGAGAGATGAAAACTTTAGAGGTTTGGTAGGAAAGAAGGAGCAAACCAACCCAGAGCAACCACAAACCACCCACTCTCGACCTCTGGAGCATCCATCTGTCATTGAGGGATATAATTATGAAATCTTCTTTGCGTACTGTTGCAGAATTCATGGTCTGTTCTGCGTGACCAATAACAAATTAATGCTACTTACATCATTATTATTATTCATGTGCTCGCCTTGCACTGGTGCATATATATAATGATTACGTCCTTGATAAATAGCGACATAGTTATGCCGTCCTACAATTTGACTTCTATTGTAAGTTGCAGCGCATAAAAGTTAATTGTTTTGACACACAGAATGGGTCTACACGGATTGACAATACACCTGAACTGGCTGGCGTTGCATATTTTGCTTACATGGTTTCACGCTTGATGACTGTGAAAACGACCAGAATATTGACACTAACCCCCCCCCCCTTCTCCTCCAACCCCCCGCCTCTCACCACCACCACCACAACCACCAAAATAATTTTAAAAAACTCTTCTTTACGCTTCTTTTTTTTCTTCCGTCTCCTTCTGTCGTTCTCTTTCCCGTTTTTGCTTATTTATTCCCCCCCTCTCTTTCTTTCTCCTTTATTCTTTCTCCTTCTTGCTTTTTTTCTATCATCTTTATAATTTGTTTCTTTCTTCTTTCCCTTTTCTCCTTTTTTTTTCTTTCGGCTTTTTCCTTTGTTCTGCCTTTTCCCTCTTCTTCCTTTTTTCTTTATTCGTTTTTTTTTCTGCTTTCTCCTCAGTTTCTCAACAACTGAGCCGAACGCTTTGCTTCCAAAACGACCCGTCATTAGCGTCATTTGTGTAATTATTTTAACTATGATTATTAGTTTGTTGTTATGTTGTGCAAATTGTCTACATCTAGCTGTGTGCACACGGGGGTACGACCAGGAAAAATGATCCACTTCAATATTACAATAATTGTTGTTATTGTTACTGTTATTGTTATTGTTATCGTTGTCATTATTAATAAAGATTGATGTCATCATCACCATCATCATCATCACCACCACCACCACCACCACCACCACCACATCATCATCACCACCGCCACCACCACCACCACATCATCATCATCATCATCATCATCATCATCATCCTCTTCTTCTCTCCCACTGTCCAGGCGTTCACCATGCCGGAGTACCTAAAGAAAAGGTTCGGCGGCGTCCGCTTGAGAGTGTACCTGTCCGTACAGTCGCTGTTTGTCTACGTGCTCACCAGGATCACGGTATGGCGCAGTAGGTCATAGGTCAAAGGTCATTGGGGACTCCGTGGTCATCCTAATATGTGCGATGACACGGTGAATTTAGTCATTAGAGATAGTGAATGATGCGTAGTACTAAAGAACTAATATGTGTGTCAATTTTGTGTGATGACGTGGTAGAATCAGTCATTAGAGGCAGTGAATGATGCGTGTTACTAAAGTAAAAATATGCGCATTTGTGTCACGACGCGGAGGATTCAGGCGCTTGTCATTTTTGGGGCATTCGGAGTTGTTGGTATCATTTTACAAAAGCTTGTTTCGTTTGTCTAGCTTTCAAAGAAAAAAAAATCCCCATTTATTTTGAATAGAAGTCGAGATATTTACGATTGAAGGAAGTGGGGGTCACCTAGTTTCAGAGGTAAAATTAGCGAGAAAATGGCAGCCAAAGTTTGGTGACTTCCATAGCTCGACCGTCTTGGAAACTGAAAATGTACATTTTGTGTGGGGTTGATAAGCGTTTTTCCAGTAAAAGTCCACACAGAAATGTGTTTTTACATCGGCATGAAAGTAGTTGAACCAAAAAGACAAAAATTCGATAACAATTGTGAAAATTGTGGGAGAAATATGCCAATTGCTCTGTTTTCATTATTTTGACGAGCGCCTGATTTCACCACGATGCCCCCCATAATAACGCTCATAGTGATAATTAGGATAACTGCACATACAAAGCGTGTATCAAAATTCTACAGCATGCTCTTGTGACTTGATGGAGGCTTTCGGAGCAGCCTCTGTCTCATGTACTGAAAGTGTTTCAAGCAGGGCTTGGTTCTGGCGGACTAGAATATCACACTGTCTCCGTGGTTTTATGCAAAAAAAAAAAAAAATGTTTTAAAAATATGCAAACTAAGCCCCCAAAATGTGAAATTATACGATTCTGTTAATTTTTACAAAGAATGAAAAAGGAAAATAATCAGAAATTATGCGAAAAATGATTAAATTTTTCTAAATTATGCGGGGTGCATAAAACCACGGGGAGAGTTCATAGAAGGTCCTAGGAACCCGAAAGTAAGCACGAACTAGATATGTGTGTGTGTGTGTGTGTGTGTGTGTGTGTGTGTGTGTGTGTGTGTGTGTGTGTTTGTGTGTGTGAGTGCAGCTTTCAGCCCTGGCTATTCCCCATGTACGCAATAATAAAAATTTTGACTACACGTTATGAAGAGTGTTTTCTTAAAACTAGGTTCACTTCACTTTTGCAAGTAGTGAGATTTATGAGATTTAACCGTTATAATTTTTATGATTTACTGGTATAATTCATTACTCCTCTGGTCAAAATAGGGGATATTGAAAACAAAAACAAAACAACAAAAAGAAAAACAATCTCCCCCCCAACCCCAAACAAAAAAACAACAACAAACAAACAACAACAACAACAGCAACAAAAAACAACCTCCCCTCCAAAAAACAAAAAACAAAACAAAACAAAAAGACAAACAAAAAAAGCCACCCAACAAAACAACAAAACAACAAAACCCCGTCCTTTTGTTCCTACCCAACCAAATGAAAGATCGGAAATAAATTGGGAAAAATCGTTGCTTTTTTTGGTAACCATAGTTAGGTTGATTTAGATTTGTAAAAAAAATAAATTGTTTATCTGTCCCGCCCAGGCCGAGATGTACTCTGGCTCAGAATGAGGACAAATAGTTTTGTTTTTGATAACCGTAGTTAGGTTGATTTTGATTCGTAAAAAAAAAAAAGTATGTTAATCATCTGTCCCTCCCAGGCCGAGATGTACTCTGGCGCCATCTTCATCAACCAAATGTTGGGCTGGAACATGTACGCGTGTGTGGCCGTTATCTTGGCGGTCACAGCCCTCTACACCATCGCTGGTGAGTTCTGAGATGAGATGTCTGGGTGTCTTGTGATGACTTTGAGTGGTTTTTAGTTGGATTTTTGTTTTTGTTCAAGTTGTCGTCTTCGTCGTCGTTTTCCTCATGATGATGATGATGATGATGATGATGATGATGATGATGATGATGATGATGATGATGAGCAGTAGCAAAACAACAATAAACAACAACAGCAGCAGCAAAACAAAAATAAACAACAACAACAACAACAACAACAACAACAACAACAACAACAACAACAACAACAACAACAACAACAACAACAACAACAACAACAACAACAACAACAGCGTCAACAATAGAATGACATGTATTAGCAAAATCAATCACCACCACCACCACCAAGAACCTCACAGCGCCCACCTCAACCATCACATATTATTATAATTATCTAATTCTCCAAACCTTGTATTTCCCCAGGCGGTCTGGCAGCTGTTATATACACCGACACTCTGCAGACGGTCATCCTGCTTCTTGGCGCCACTGTGCTCTTCGTCATCAGTAAGTGGGTATAGATAGATGTTGGTTTGCTACGTGCATAGAGTCTTGAGTTATCCTGTCCTGGAGCAGAGGAAGATCGGACTAACGCTAACATTACTTAAACGCAATCCCACATCATCACTCATTACCACCATCATTTCTAAAATCATCATTGCTCGCAGGTCAGTGACTTACATCTATAATCCTGGAATCTCTATCTGAAACAGTTACTTGTCATACTAAGTATACTTGTAATACACTATTGGACACTGTTGTAAGCACTTTTTTTCTACTAATCAGATGGCGTCAAGCTCATAGAAATGAGCAAGGGAAAAATACTTTCATAGACCGGGGTCGTTGATAAAACAATCAGGCAAAGACAAAATAATTCAGTTTTTGGGACACCTAAAAAGACACAAAGGCCTTGAACATCTAGCTCTCACTGGCAAAATTGAAGGCAAACGAGGCAGAGGTAGGCCCAGAACAACCTACGTGGAGAAACTAAACAGATGGGTGAAAGGGGAAAGATCAGGGTAATGTAGCTTTTTTTTTTAGAGCGTCACAGAGCGGAGGAATGAAAGGAGAATCATAAATCGTCGATATCTGTCGCAGGTCTGGCACTTGATGATGATGATGATGATGATGATGATGATGATGATGATGATGATGATGATGAGGAGGAGGAGGAGGAGGAGGAGGAAGAGGATGATGATGATGATTACGATGAGACCGTACACTTTCATGGCTGTTGATCTTTGCGTTCTGTAAAACTTAACAGCGCTGAGGCACGTCATGGCTGACAAATGAAGGAGAAACACCAGTCTCGCTTTGACTGTGTGCACGTGACACCTTTCCTAGCTAAAACAGCACCTGGACATGGATGGCTGGTGCCTCTATAAATAAATCATTGATGGTCTGGTCTGGTGACACCTTTCCCTACTTGTCCCTTTATTAAAATTATCAACTTTTAAAACAGTTCTTATGACCACCTGGTGATTGAGTCCTACATGGTCTTTTATTGGATGAGCGAGAGAATCGACTTTGTCGAAGTCGAAACCATCTATTTGTGAGCCGTGCCCACATTAGAATTGGGAATCTCATTTTGGTGGAAGTCGTAGTTATCATTAACAATTGGCATAACATCAATGCCCTTCTGTGAACTACTTCTGATTTGAAATCGCACTGACTTCAAAATATCATGGTAGGTAGATGGTGGGAAAGAAAGAGAGGGAAGGAGAGAGAGAGAGAGAGAGAGAGAGAGAGAGAGAGAGAGAGAGAGAGAGAGA